TTGAAGGTTCAATAAAATTGATAAATCTCCAGCTGGACTGAGCAAGAAAAAAGAAGAAAGAACACAAGTTACCAACATTAGAAATAAAACAGAGGCTGCCACTACAGACTAAGAGCCTTTATGAAACACATTTGACAAATGAAACTGAGAATTTTTTTTAAAGACACAGATAAAATATTGCAAGCAATAACAGTGTGGTATTTCAGGGCTAGGATTCTGGAATCAGGCTACTAGGGTTTAAACCTATACATTTTCCTCTTATTAGCTGTGTGAATTTGAGCAAATTTCTTAATATCTCTGTGCGGTAGTTCCTCTTTTTGCAATATCAAGATCATAGGGTTTTTACAAAGATTAAATTAGTTATTTTTTGAAGATCTGTGCCTAGTGCTATGTAAGCATTAGCTTTTTAAAAAATATATTTTTAGTTGTAGATGAACTCACAGTATTTTTCTTTCTTTCTTTCTTTCTTTTTTTTTTAATGTGGTGCTGAGGATCAAACCCAGTGCCTCACACATGCGAGGTAATCGCTTGCTTTACCACTGAGCTACAGCCCCAGCCCCAGCATTAGCTTTCTTTTTTTAAAAAAAAAAAAATTTTTTTAGTTGTAGTTGGACACAATATCTTTATTTAATTGATTTATTTTTATGTGGTGCTGAGGATTGAACCCAGCCCCTTGCACGCACTAGGCGAGCACGCTACCTCTGAACCTCAGCCCCAGCCCCAAGCATTAGCTTTTAGTATTTCTTTGATCTTCTATGATTTTTTCTAGATTGAGACTTATAAAAAAATCTGATGGCTCAAATAAAAAAGAGTGGAAGATTTTTGGGTACTCCTGGAGTTTTTCTTGGTCAAAACATAGGCTGCATGTGTATGGTTCAAAAGTCTATTGGTGATTTGTTTAAATTCAACAGAGTAAATCAATCAACTTCAAAAAAGAAAAGAGCCCCATGAAACCTCCTCCCCCTGCCATGACCCTCCTTGCCCCTGAGAGTTGCAAGGTTGACCTCACGTATGTTGGGAGACTTTTGTGCATACAGCAGTCAAAGTGCTACTAAAAGTGACGCTTGGAAATGTGAGGGCTTCCTGGGTCAGATAGCCGATGGGGGCAATCAACTCATCTTCTGTTGTTTCCAACCAACCTAGTTCTCATCCTAGGGTCTGAAACACTGGAAGTATTTTGACCATCCAATTTCTTTCTTCCTGGGGCTAAGGGTGCATCTCAGTGGTTGAGTACATGCTTAGCATGCATGAGACTCTAGGTTTGAACCTCCAGACCACCCCGCATTTTTTTCTTTCTTCTTCCTCCTATGAACCCCCACAATCTAAGCATGACTTACACTCCCACAGGTCATGGCTACAGAGCAGCCCAAGGCCTCCTGACATCCATAATGCTGAAAACCCTTGAGTGGAGCTCTGAGCATTCAGCCAACAAGAACTGGCAGCCAAGGACACCACCCGATGGCAAAGGCTGGCTTCTCCTGAAGACCTCTGCCTGCTGCCTAGCGAAGCCAGCCCCTGTGTTTCCTTGCAATGCCCTGCTCAGAAGGTTTCTTGTCCTCTGTTGCTTTGTTTGAGACCCAGTCCCCACCAAACATCAACCAAGTGGCAATGCCTCAGCCAGAGAGGTGAGCCAAGAAATTATCCACTAAAAAAGAATATAAACCCAAGCTGAATTTGAACATCTGTTTCCTATGTAATGCCCTTCAGACAGCACGGTATTGTTTGTTTTCCGAATCAGTTCCCAGCAATGGAGCGGGAGAGGTACCACCAAATAGCCATCAGTATGTGAGGTAAGGCCAGCGTCACTGGAGTTTTATATCCTCTTCATGTAAGGTCAGTAATTTCTAGTCATTCTACATACTTTGAATACTTTTAATTGCACTAATTGAAATCCCATTTCTAAGAGCAAGCATGCTTGCTTATTAAAATATTTTTCAGGGGCTGGGGCTGTAGCTCAGTGGCAGAACATCTGCCTAGCATGTGTGAGACACTGGGTTTGATCCTTAGCACCCCATGAAAATAAAACAAATGAAATAAAAGCATTCTGTCCATATAAGACTACAAAAAAATTTTTTTTTAAAGATACTTGTTTTCCACAAAAACCCATCTCTGTAGCTCAATGGTTAAGCACCTCTGGGTTCAATCCCCAGTAGCAATGAGAAAAAAAAAAATTCCCTGGATTGGGGATGTAGTTTAGTGTAGAGCACTTGCCTAGCATACATGAGGCTAGGGATTCCATTCCCAGCACAACAAAAACAAACAAACAAACAAAACCCCAACTATCTCTGACACTGAGAACCTTACTTAAAATTGCTGGTTAAGGTATGATCAGGCAAAGACTGACTCCTAGAGCAAGAACTTTCAGCTAGCTGCCTGCCCCATTCCCTGAACACTCCTGATCAGTTCCAGGGCTCTGGCTTAATCTAAGAAACACATATAATATTACATCATAAATGCTAAAAATTTAAGACAATAAATTATAGATATGATAACACATATTATGGAGGAAGCACAGTATGAACTCAATATCAGTTGGGATCTGACCATCACTCATGGATTGGGTGTATCAGATTGTGTCCTCACACCATAAGAGAAAAACTCAAATTTACCAAGGTTGTGGATCCTGGTGTATGAAACTGGGAAGTCAAATTATTTGTTTATAATAACAACAAACTTTTGTGTAGCTTCGACATTGATGGAATAAACATATTTCTCCCTGGACACTGATTCAAGGGGAAGTTATCATCATAAAGTGGCTTATTAAAAATCAAAATATGAATAATAAGAAAATGCTATGGTTGGCTGATCTTCAGCAGGTGTAGACTTGCTAGAAGTTTTTGAGTCCATAAGCCAGGGGTACTTTTTTTCTTTATCTGCACTGATGGTCATTACTGATTTTTGACATCTGGAGCTCCATGTTCTGGTGGGCCATTTCCCTTCTGTTCACACAACAGGCCACCATGCAGGGACATTATATAATTTATATTTACTAAGTTACCATGATAATCTCCTCCTGATGCACTAAAAATATCTATTTTTCCTTCATTGAAGTTTGAAATATAGTCTAATTTTTTCACTGTACATTGATAGAAAAATGTGTAGATTATCCTGGTAGAAATTTCATGGGGGGGGGGGCGTCATTAAGCTGTGTTCTTTTTACTATGAGTGATGGAAAACACAACTCCCGTTTTGTGAAGTTTCTGGCACAACTGGATCCAATGTCACCTACCTCGTCCCTAGTCCCCAGAGTAGAGATCTGCTCTAATCTGTGCTGGCTTCATTTTTAAATAGGCTCCTCATCAAATCCAGTTGAAAGTGCTTCTCTTTTTCTCAATAGTTCAATAAAGACTTCTACAATGAAATCTCATTGGCTTGGCTTGGGTTATATGCCCCTTCCTGAATTAACCATGGTGTCCAGGGAGCTGAAAGACATGGATTATCTAGACTTGGGTTACAGGATCACTCCTGAAATCTGGTTTTTGTGCATGGATTGAGAGTGAGTGTAAAATAGTGATTCTGTTGACAGAAGAAGGTGGTTTGAGTCCAGATAAGAAAACCAGTGGAAATCTGCTGGAGAGGCAACCTCATTTTTCTTTTCTCCATGTTCTTAGGAAGTGGGTGTTATTTTCCCATTGTATCCTATGTGTCCAAAACCAGGTAGTGTGGATGATATGATATATGGCCTCTTCCATTCAGAAAGTCATCTAATAGTGAGAATACACATGTGCACAAGTGACCACAATACACGAACAACCAAATAAGTATCATATGATGAGTACAGAGAAAAAATGAGATTTATTTAAGTTTATAGGGAGGTGGAATTATAGTTGTGTGAAAAGATAAAGGGAGGCTTCAGGGAATAGGTGGCACTTGAGCCTGGAAGGTTAGGAGGGTTTTGATAGTTGGAAATAAAGGTGCTGACACTTCAGCGGGAGGGACCTGCATGAGCAAACTCTGTGATTGGAGAGAGTATAGTCTCCCTGAGTGCGGTAGACTGTGTGAGAAGGGAGGGTAAAAGTGTGGGCCATTTCAGTGCCATGTCAGTGCCTCCGTGGGTGTGTGGCGCTCACCCAGGAGTGCCCTCTGCAGAGGGTTAAAGGTAGGTGAGTTTCGGGAGCTGTGATGGTGTCTGGGAGTTTCTACATTCAACATTTCTAAAAGTGTGGTCCAGGATGCTTTTGAACATGCTCTGATCCCAGACCTAACAGATTCAACATCTCTGAGCTGACAGACTTTTTATTTAGGGCTGAGTCTAGTTCACATTCAGTTCTGCTCTGCATTTGGATGGAAAGTGCCCACTTCCTGTAATATCAGAGTGAATAGTTTTTCACAGAAACTGTGTGGCCTGCAGTGCTTGCTTTTTTTTTTTTTTTTTTTTATGGTGGTGGTGCTGGGGATCAAACCCAGGGCCTTATACATGTGAGGCAACCACTCTACCAACTGAGCTATACCCCAGCCCCGAAAGTGCCCACTTCTAATCATATTACTTAAGAAACAACCCCGCCCCCCCCAAAAAAAAAAAAAAAAACCACCTTCTAGCTCTTCTAGACTATGACTCCTCTCCTGTACCTCACCCTACCTTTAAGACTTGGGCTGCAACCAGAGCCCAGCTGTCAGAGTCCCTGGCAATAGCAGAGAAGAGATCAATAAAGAGAGCAAGGTACAGGCCTCCTTTGACCTTAAGGAAGAAAAAACAGTCTTATCAGATCCTCAGGACCAGCCAAATGTTTCTTCCTGTAACTGCTCTTTATGGGTAAGATAGGCAGAGACTAAGAGGAGAGGGTTTCAGATTTTGTTTGGAAAAATCCAGACCGCATGACGTCTGACAGCACTTAATCTCCAAAGGCAGCGAGTGCTAACAGGCACAAACTACAATTCAGAGGCCTCCTACCCTTTGTAGTAGTGGGCGGGGTTAACCTCCAGGTAAATAAACACTTTGTTTCAATTTACCCAACACTGCCAAGAGCTCATATTTTTTGCTCTGTGTGGAGTAGCCTGACCACTGTTATTCTAAATGAAGGATGTTTCCTGGTTTCCTAGAGGAAGAAGGCCTGAGCTGCCTGTGTAGCCCTCTAGGGCAAGTTTTTAGAGCTCCCAGGGCTCCACATCTGGAGAACCCTATCAGAATTTCTGGAAAGAAAAGTAGACTGTGCTGTAATACTTCTTGAGTAATGAGCTCATTTAAAACTTTTGCAGCTCTACCAGAAACTGAAGAGGTAAATCAACAGCAAAGGTAAGGAAAAACGGTGTCATTTTCTTCTCTATTTATTAGTGCAGCTGCATCTTGTCTGAAGGCCCAGGCCCACCACGCTGGGGGTCCCAGCCGGGTGCATTCTGCTGTGCTTCCACCTCCCTCATGCTTCCCTCTCCCACTTTGGAGATGTGCTGAATCAGCAGAGCTTCCTGGAGTCCCCTCCCCAAAGGCAAAAGAGCACACAGGGGCTGCCCCTGCCCAGGCTACAGGCTGGATGTCCTCTGGGGACAGCTTGGGAAATCTCTGGGCCAATTCTGGTCCCTGCCTCCTTTGTGCTCTGTGTCCTGCATGGCCCTGGCTTCATACCATGGTTCAGGGCAGGCCAATTCAGGACTTAGAGCCCTGGAGCTCCTTCTCCGTGGGCTGGCTCCCCTTGGCCTGGGATGTCAACTCTTTTCCTTCCCTTGCTCTGCCTCCTTCCCTTCTCCACAGCATTTTGTTCTTAATTTTCAATCCTCTTGGAGAAGAAGTGAGATTCTCATCCCTCCGTGTGACTCTTAGCACAGTGCTGACTTTTTTCTTTTTGGCTTCCTGGTTCTGCTGACTGACCTTTGGAATTTCTTGGCTCCTTGTCAGAATCCTCAGTTCTTCCCAGCATCTGTTTAAACACCGCGTTTCCGGTGGCAATGCCCTTTTTGCTTATTTAACCTTTTTGTCATCTGGCTCCAAGTTCCACAGGGGATTTTACTGCCTTGTCAGGTCAGTAACAGTGCCCTGCAGCTAGAAGAAGTCTTGAGAATACATTTCCTTTGTGTGGGAAGTTGCCAAATTTTTAAAGATTGGCACTGGGAGAGAATTTCAAGGCTTTTCTTTACATGTTGAGAAAGGTGTGTCTGAGAGGCTGGCGTTCAGTGCCCTCTTTCACACGGGCCAGCCTGCCTTTTGAGCCTTATCTCCCACCAAAACTGCGTTCCTTCAGCTTCCACTTCCACTTCACCCAGGACCCTTGCCTCCTGCACTTGGCTTAAGCTGTTACCTGTGCCAGGATCCCCTTTCCCACCCCCCACCCCCCACCTAGTTCTTTATGGCACAATTCCTAACCATATTCCTAGTGTTAATGCCTACTCCAAAAGGCTCCCTCCCCATCTGACTTAATCTCTCTTCCAGCCCCTGAATGCCATTGTGCCATTGTGCTATTCTTTCGTTTTCCTGATTCTAGGGAGCACAGTTTTTCTTTTTTTCTTTTTCTTTTTTCTTTTTGGTTATAGCTATATTGACATACAAATATAGTAAGCACTACAATGAGCAATTCAATTTTTAGTATACAACCATTCCCCAAATCAATTCTGATTTTCATTGCCCTAAAAAGAAGTTCTGTGCCCTTTAGCTGCTGCCTTCCTTCCATCTTGCCCAGGTTAAGTAACCACTAATCTGTTTTCCGTCTCCATCAATTTACCTATTTGGGATCTAATAAAAATGGGACCTGTAGTGGCGGGCATCTTTCACTAAGCATGTTTTCAAGATTCATCCACGTTGTAGCATGTATCGGTAATATTTCATTCAAGAGACTTATTTTAAAAATATTTTGAAATCTCTGAAATAAAGATGCATCTTCAAATCATTGATATGCATAGGAGCAATTTTTCTTTCTTGGTAATGCTTATAACCATGATGTGTCTTCTGTTGATAGAGCATTCTATCAACAATGCTCTATTTGTGTCTCCATGTTACCCCTGTCATAATCACCTTCCTGGTCAAGCCATTTGTTTGTGTCTGTCTTATTTCTACATTGTAGGCTCCAGAAGGACAGAAGCCATGTCTTAATAATCTTTATATTCTTTAAAGGACCTAGCACAGCACTTGGCCCTTAAGAGGTATTCAGTAGATTTAAAGAAGGCATACATTGGGATGTATTCACCATGAATAATGTGACATAGCAGAAGGATGCCCAGTCTTCATGGCCTGTTGCACACCAGATGAGTGTGCAAGGTGCTCATGATTGTTAAGTTTTGGTGATTGATACAGTTAATTAACTAAACATTTGCTCACCTACTGTGTGCCAAGTCCCATATTCTGAGCAGAGAGTGTTATAAAGATGATTCAAATATAGTCCCTCTCCCAAGGAATTCATATTTTGGAAAGACACTTATATAAATGGTTATACAACAAATACAACAAAGAGAATGTGTGGGTGTGTTATAGGGGTTACCAATGCTGGAAAAGAGAAGTTATTTAGAGAGTAGCACATGTATTTAACACCCAGGTGCCAAGAACACCCGTTTTATAGTCTGACAGCCTGAGCTCTGCCACTTCTTTGTGAATTCTATGTGATACCGAACTTTCTATCTTCTTTCTTTCTTTCTTCTTTCTTCTTTCTTCTCCTCCTCCTCCTCCTCCTCCTCCTCCTCCTCCTCCTCCTTCTTCTTCTTCTTCTTCTTTTTTTTGATACTGGGATTGAACCCAGATAGTCACATCCCAGTCTTTTTATTTCTTGTTTTGAGACAGGGTCTTGCTAAGTTGCCCAGGCTGGCCTCCAACTTGTGATCTCCTGATTCTGCCTCCCGAGTGCCTGGGATTATAGGCATAAGCCACCGAACTTCACTTTCCTGTGCCAAGATCTTCTTTAACTACAATGGACATAACAGATTATATATCACTAGCAGTATTAAATTATAAATAATGGGTTTGTAAAGTATTTGTTATATATGTGTTTAGATAAATGACAGTTATTCTTGGGACTCTTAGACCATTAAACCTTCAGGGACTTTAGTATTTGTTGATGCTTCCTAATTTTATAGATGTACCTAATTTTTTTTTCAGTAGTAGGGGTCTGAACCCAGGATCATGTACATGCTGGGTAAGAGCTCTACCACTAAGCTACATCCCAGTACTTTTAAAATTTTATTTTGATACAGGGTCTTGCTAGATTGTACAGGCTGACATTGGACTTGCAATCCTGCTCTCTCAACTTTCTGAATAACTAGGATTACTGGGATTACAGGCATGTCACCATGCCCAGCTCACACATAATTTTATGTAGTAAGACACAGATCTTATAGTGGCTTGTCCTTTTGCTGGGTTTTGAAATGGGTTCAGGTTTCATGGAAGGGAGATGATTGAGGGATGAGAAGTTTCAAATGAGAATCTCCAGCCAGTTAGACAGGCACATTTGAGGTGAGTTTGAGAGGGTCTGATCTGTGAGTCCAAACCAGAGAGTCTCCCAATTACCTCCCCTTGGGCAGCTTCTTCATCTTAGTAGAACCTTCATATATTTATATATGTAAGCATCTGCTGTGTATTTGAACAGCCTTTAGCAAGAAAGTCTCAGCCCAGATTTGATTATACGGTTTAGTTCCTCCCTAGATGTTATTTTTCTCTTCTTAGCAAATCTGTACATTTCCTGGTCTGCCAGGGGCAAGGTTTCTAAATTTTTTCCCTCCAATGTCCTGCATGATGGACAAACAAATTCTACTTGCAAGTGTTGTCTTTTTACTTTGTAAAACTAATGAGTGTTGTTGAATGAATGACTGTATTTTGAATGAATCAATGAACAAATAAATAATTGCAGGGTTAGCCATAACAATTGGCTCTTCAAACAAATTACATTTATTTTCCAAGGAAGAAATGAGGTATAAGATTTAAATTAAAAGAATTATACTAATTTATCAACTTTTTTCAGTTTTATGAATAACATTTTATTTCAATCACTGTTCAATCAACAGAGCTACAATGATTGGGTTTATTTAGTGGGCTTTTTTTTTTTCTGATAGTCACAACAGCAGGAAAATAATGTTTTATTTTTCTGCTTAGTAGACAGACTAATAATACATTTGAAGCTTCCATGGTTACCAGTCTTTGTCTAAAAAGAAGATGCTGAACAAGATGCATAGAGCTAAGAACTACTTTTGGAAATGGGGGGCTGTCTTTTTCACTTTTGGGTGGTAAAACAAGGGATGGGTCTTGAGAGTCAGGACTCTAGTCTTTTCAACCTGGGCCAGAGTATGGAAAGGCTCAAGTGTACACATACCAGGAGTGGGAATCTATTAACTAGGAGGCATAAGTATTGATTTGGTTAACAGAAAATGTGAGAGAAACATCTAAATTAATAGAGCCTTTAGGCAAGATAAAGTTCATTTCTTTCCTTCATAAAGAACTCCCGATGTGCATGATTCAGAGCAGGAAGAGCTCTGTAGCCTAATTTCTTCAATTCTCTATGGTCTTCAAGCTTCCAAAATGGCAGCTGGGACCATACAGACACATTTCGGGAGGAGACATTGAAGAGAAAAAGAAGGAGGCACACACCACTTGCCTTTTAACAATGTTTCCCAGAAGTTGCACCGCCACACTTCAATGCCTCATTGACTAGAATATAATCCTGGAGACATCAGGCACCAAAGGAGATTGGAATATGAGGTCTTTATTCTACATGGTCATGCCCAGATAAAACCTACAGTTTTATTACTGAGGAGAAAGGTGAGAATAAATATAGTGGTAGCAACTATCTCTGTGCCTTAATGGTGTATGATCCCAATGTCTGTCCCAGGGTACTTAAGGATCAGGGATGCCAGTGTCCCTAGGAAAGTTCTGTTGGATGATAGGTCTATGAAAAATTTAGCCCTGGGATTACCAGCTCTTCATTCCCCCTGCTCATGAGGCTTTGAATCATCCTCTTTAAAAGTCCCCACCACCAGATCCTAGGGTTTCTTCTCCATGCAAATGGGATGTGTTATTACTCTACCATTTTCCTTTGAAATTAGATTTGAAACTAGGCTCAGCCTCTTGGTAAAACTATTATCTTGGGCAAGTGATTGACCATCTCTGTGTCATTACATTTTTCATACCTCTGAAATGGAAATGATCTATAATAGTAGTAAATAATAATAACCAGGCCCCAAAGTAGGTGCTTTTAAAATGTCAAATTACTTTCCCAACCAAATGTACTGTGTAACAACCTGTCCCCACCACACTGATACTTTGTTCAGATATTCCAAAGTTAGCTCATACTCTACTCTTTCTCTAATTTTGATAAAGTTAGATTT